TTAGGTAGTCTTAGTTTTTCAAAATGGTCTATACACCCACTACAAAATTTCATGAGCCCTACATGGCATCTCAATAGCATAGGGGAATGTATGATTCTCGTATAATGGAAAGTGCACAACTTGTAGTTTGGAAGTCGTAAACGCAAGTGCTATCGCAGGTTGGGTTCAAACGTGGTTGGAAATTGGGAGACTCTTTTAAAATTAGAAGACACCCTTCTTCTAGCAAAAAGCTTATAGGAGACTTAATTTACCAAGAAATTAGCACAGAGATGTTTTTGTGCATGTTTCACATAAGACACGCCTCGATTCATAGAGACATTTAAAACTAATGTCAAAATTTAAGTCAAGTTGAATGTAATTTTCGTAGGCAACCGGAAAGACGTACTTTCAAAAGCCGTTGCCCTGGCGTGATTGAAATACCTTCGTATTATGCTGCATGATAGTCAGTATTATAATATCGTCTATATAATCCGTTCTAACCGATTTCATCCTTCCGAATTCCGATTGACGTTTAATGGACTACGTCGCCTGGTGTACATTAATGATTCTACTCTTACGGCGGGATATTCGGATGCAGGCATTTCGTCGTTATTCAGAAGACGCTTATTCTAGCAACCTCGCTTGATACCCAGCAAATTCCTGGATTTTCTCTTCTCGTCAGTCCAGTTGCTGCTATTTTCTGTCTCCCTTTTAGTCGAGCAGCATGGAATTCTACGAACGAGAGTTGGAACGCGAGCAGATGCTGCGCGAACGCCGCGAAAAGGAGGAGGGAGAGGAGCTTCTTGAGGCCAGGCGCAGGCGTCTCTTCCAAAAGACGCAAATGCTGCAAGGCTTCTTTGGCGTCTCAGCAGAAGATGCTGCTGGCGACAGCGAGAATCAGAGCCCACAGAAGAAGACCGAGGCTGCACAGCACCAACCCCCTCCCTCTGCGGCGGCGGCGGCGGCTCCGTCCTCAGCAAAACCGCCTATTCCCGCCTCCGCGCAGTTTACCGTTCCTCCCTCTCACCGCTTCCTTCCGCCTCCGTCTGGCTCCGCACTGGCGCAGAAACCACTTTCAATGATTCCTCCCGCCAGCAGCCTCATGCCCCCACCGATACCACCGTCGGGTAGGCGTGGTATAGTGACGCCCGCTACGTTGATCACTCCGCACACCCTAATCACCCCTGCCAGTGGAATGACTGGTGCCGGGCTTACCAACTGGGCGACCAGCGCTGATTTTCATAACGTGCACATTCCGACTGTGACAAGAAAGAGACCCACCAGCAACGACGTCGGTGGCGCCGGCAGCAGCAATCAGGCAGATGAGGTGGTGTTTGGTAGCAAGGCCAGACCAGGCGCAGGCAAGGTAATAGTTGTGAGCCCCTAGTCTGACTGTCTTGTTTGCCTTTTGGTGTGCTTTTCGACTACGGGCTACAGAATGTCAATTTGTGATGGCAGTTCCCTATGGAAAATATCGACCAAAATATTTGAGAAGGGGGTACTTCCCGATAATTAACTATCCCAGGTCTGCACAGTAGGTGACTTTAATATGCAGTAAGGTTGTAGTCCTAAGTGACCACAAAATATTGGCACTTTTGTTTCAGGATGAGCCTTTGATAGGGCGGGGAAAATGGACAGACTGGTCAGACGCGAGAATCCCAAGTTTGTTTATGTGAACTTTCGGACCCTGATTAGAATCCGTCGTCAGATATAAGAAAACAGCAGCAAAAGCCACAGAACTTGCAAGGCGATAGGACCGACGAATGACCGGTTTTACAAGTGTAAATGCGCTCGCGCGGGGCAGTGTACTCCGACGGGAGGTCGATATGCCCGTTGGTCGAGTTTTTGTCGGAATTAAGGCTTGGATCAGTTTACTGCCTGTTTTGTACTTCGCTGGACGATAACATTTGCGGCTTCGAAGCCGAGGAACTTGCCCGTCTTGAGCGTGTGCTTAGTAGCTTGTAATGTTACGGGTGATTGCCGCGTCTCTCTTTGCTCACAGATCAGATGAGGTCAGATACTATGTGATCTCAGGTTTTGTTCAGTTTGAACTATAAGAACCCGAATGCTAGGATGACCAAACTTATGGTTCCAGCACTCTATTAACTATTACCTAATAAAACATCTGGAACTCAAGAATTTGCCTATATTCAAGTGAAAAAATAAAGCAATGCACAAACAGCGACAAACGACCTAACAAAATCCGTCGCTATTTCAAAACGGCCGGCAACTGTTGCCTGCTTAGGTCAAAGAGCTGTCAAAAATTGTGCCCTATAAAATCGGGGTCTTTTTTCTTCGTTCTTATTACTCAGGACACACTGAAACGCGTATCGTCAAGGAAGGGGTTTCTCTGATGCCGTTTTTGTATTGCGTACATTCAGAAATTGCTAAAGATGAATGACTTTCTTGCTTTCTCGACGCTTCTACTGCTCTTTACCAACTAACTGGTAATAAGATTCAGAAGACCAGTTGACGGGTATACGCGTGCTTTCGATAAATGCTTGTCCGATCAGTACATTTATGTGAGGACGGGGTACAGATAAGCGAGTGTTAAGGTAGATTGATCTAAGTTCGTCTTTTTCATACAAGTATTATGGAAGGGGGAGGAGTAATAAGAGACTAAGTTGGGAGGCAGTGAGGGTTGGGGGAGGGGGATAGGGCGCGGAGTAGTGCATGAGGTTAGCTGATCTTTGGCCATGGCAGACGCAGAGCCTGCAAGAAACTCTTCTTTGCTTTCCTGACCTAGTGACAGTCACTTCTGCTGTTGCTAGCAAACGCTCACCCAGTGGCTCAGGGCAGTTCGGCGAGACTTTGTGAATCACGCGGAAAACTTTGTTGGCGTCCACACGATGCCCGGGATCAACAGAGTGGGTGACATTGGCGTCGGCTATGCTCTTAATTTCGCTCGTTCCCAGCCATGCGGAGGATGTTCCCGTCTCTTTTCTTGGATAGGCGCCAAATCGTGCGACCAATATAACCACCAGAGGAGCAAGTAAAGGAGTAAGTGCACTCGGGCGGTAGTCTAAACTGGCAACATATCCTTAACTTCTCCGTGTAAGACGGTGTTGCTGCTGGGAAGGTTCTTAAAACAGCTTGCTCAAGGCGTCTCTTCTTAGCAGTTCACTCGCCGAGTCCCCTTGAAGGGGGATTTCGGGTCCTCCTAGTGTCAGCAATATTATCCGCAATAAATTCGCCAGGATACTCAGTCTTGCCAAGCAGGCCTTGGATCTTTCTCCTCGATGCTGCCTGCTGAACAAGTCTCTCTAGCCCTTTGCGCCAAATGACGGACTAGATCGCGTTTCTGTTTGAGGAGTACAAAACTGCCGAGGTTTGTAAGTTGTCTAGATCAAGTTTTTTTTTCCGGTAGATGCTCTTTCTGACGCTACCGTCAGGTCTTCTGCGTAGAAGGACGTGAACTTAGTCGACGGATTTGCTTGATTTACAGCATTGAACAGGGCAGCCACGTCGGTTTCTATGGCGGCGATTGCAGGATGTCATAGATGTAGCGACCGTAATGTCCTAACTTATAGATATGGTAGGTTAGTTGACATTTCTCCAGCTTGCCCATGAAGACCGGCTGAGAGAGGTCCCGGAGGCGAGATCGTAGTAACGCCTTCTAGTTGTCTATAGGGTTGGTTGTCAGAAAGCGCTGGACGTTTTATGGGCATCTTAGTAGTAGTCCCTTTATTTCGTTCGCTGGTATTCCTATTTCCCCCTGACTGGTCAATAGGCGTCCACAGATGTAGTCGGTTGTTTCGGTGACCGAGACGTTTGTAAAGAGTGATGAGAATTCAAGCGAGAACATCGTGGCGTCCAGGCCCAGGTCTTTGACGTCATCAATGAATTCGAAGGTATGTCAATAGCTACTCGTGATTCCCATAGGTGATTTATTTAGGCAGTATTTTGAGATGTACTGACTGCAATTTCTGCGAGCCCGACTATGAAAAGTAACGCTTTCCCTAACTACAGCATGCTTTTAACCTTCTTTACCTAATTAGAACAATGCTACTGGTCCCTCGCTGGACGAGTTGCTGCAACCTTACCGGCCGGAGTTGTGTGGACCCGATCCACCGTCGCCTGAGGGTCCGAACAAGAGCCGGTGGAGCATGTTGGAGTACATCTACCTGAAGACGGTCGTTGAACCACTCAATGGCCGCAGTCTCATTCCCGAGGTACCCACCCTGGGCGACCCACCGACCGAGGAGCCCGTCGCGGCTGAGGGCGCATCGGCGGTGGAGGAAGGCGGTGCCACCACTGTTCCCACCCCAAGACAGGGTGCTTCGGCTGCCCTTCCACGCGGCTCTTGCGGAATAGCCCCAAATGTCTTTCTTAGCCGCTGTCTTCAGGATAGTCGGTGTGGACTATTTATTTGAAATGGTTGTCGCCAAATACCTCATGCCATCTGCAAATTCCATCCGTGTATCATATTCTTCAGTCCGTTGACACAGCCCATTCCTCTCCCCCAGTCACCAATTTTCTGCTTTCACCGGCTCATTCTGTCACATAATATACGTCTTCAGAGAGCAGATTTGATGATTCTTGTCGTCACTTTACAGAAAGCGGAAAATTCTCCTACCCGCTTGTGTTCCCCGTTTTTGCTCCTTGTGTGTGTGCGCCAGCTTTGTACCCATTCTTCTTTGCTGCACTCTCGTTCTGCCCATACTCCGAGGGTGTAGAGATGCAATTCGGAGAAAAGCGGTCGTTTAGTGTGCCAGACGATACAAGCCATTTCTTGCTAAAGTCAGATGACGAAGTAGCAGGCGTAGCCCATCACGGCGTTCCTCTGAAGACACTGACTTGAACAACTGTTGTCCACTGGAATGAAAACCTGCTCGGTGGTGTTTTTTGAAGACCGTCAAAAGAACATTTCTGTGCCCCCACCTTCTGCTCTGTTTAAAGACGCCCTTGAACATGACGGAGGGTAGTGATGGCAGAGCAGGGTGCCGGAGCCCACGCCTCAGTCGGTAAAACTTCTAGCCCAATGGGGAACTAGACCTAGGTCTAAACCCTCTGGTCTTTCGGCACGGCTTACTGCCGACGGCAGACTAATTTATGATCTATAACTCCGGTCGCCATGCCTTGACCAGTTTTGTCTCTGGGCTATCGCGTACGAAATCTCTAGACCGAACCTCCGAAGTAGAACAGAACGTCGGCCTTCCATGCTGCAGTCAGGCCAGATCGGTGAAGTCCACTGCAACACGGTTTTAATCAGATACCGACAGTTTGACCGTCGGTTTCGACGATGTCCACGGTGTGCTCCAAAACGGGGTGAGAGCAGGGACGGTGACTTGCGTGGGAATTAGTTTATAGTGACAGTGGACTTGCGAAGCATCTGCCTCACTCGCCACCCACCTGGATTCGGTGTCGAGAAGACCGGATGCGGTTGAGGCTGTAGGTGACTGGCGCGGCGCAAACCCGCACACAGGCGTACGACCACTTCCCCTGGTCCATGAAAAACACTTGACCAGTACTTTAAATAACAAATATGATGGTGGGGGTGGGGCGGCTTGGATCCCAATTGGCGCCCCGTGAGCCTGAAAGTGGGCCTTCCACCACACCCGGATTTTTGACATTTGTCTTGGATGCAATTCCCCTATAACGCCTGCCAGAATTCGATGTAGCCCTCCTGTTGGTCCACCACATCTGCCACGTGACCCGTTTTAGGGGCAAAATCAGATACTACCAGTAGGCAGACCGGCTGGCGCCCAGGGTCGTTTGCTTCGCCGAAAATGCAAGTTTGCAGTATGCCTCTTCGATGTGAAAGAACGACGGACAGACGACTACGGTCCTTCTACCGCGACACTGTGCTAAGCTTTCTAAAGCCGCACGTCAGATGTAACCATGCCTGAAACACAATCTCTTCTAGTCCTTTCTGATCTAGAGGCAGTGTTCTGGTCATGATATGAAATACTCTTGAAGCCTCCCGTTCGGGCCTCCGATCAGGCTAATCAGGAATTAGGGTGTGGCTGATTGAGGACGGCAACCAAGTTGAAATCGTCATTCCTGCATCTTTCATCTTTTCCGGGAAAGATAATTGATCGTTCTGTGCGCAGAAGTATAGCTGTCGTCGCACTCTCGACATCGAGTCTGAATCACCTAGCGTTTCGGGTTAGTCTGCTTTCATTGGGCGGGATAGGGCGGGGGGGGGGGAGAAGAGAAAAGCGTTACAGAAATTGCTTCAAGAGTGACACCCTTAGCTTTATCTCAATCTTTGCTGAAGTATACTAATTACTAAGATGTAGGCTATGGGAGCATGTCTCATTATAACAGACACAAATGCAGACTACATGTGCGGTCGGCGCTGAAACTCGTAACCTGCGGGCTTCGCCCGCAACTATGCTTTAAAGCGGAAATTGCATATGTAAACGTGGAGCATGCAATCATTCTACAAATATCGTCAGGCCTACAGTTTATTTTACCTATTACTGAAATTGTTCCGAAATTACCCGTAAAGTCTTCCTCACAAACACCTATATACACCTGATTAGAGTTATTTGGAGTTATCCCTTGGTTGGATGCACTAGTAGATGTGTGGTGTGTGTTTGTGCCACGACCGCGATTGCAAAAGGCCCCGGAAAGGTTTCACAATGGCGTTACTTGTCAAATGAGGTTGAACGCATCTTTCAGGTTTCATGGTCGGTTTAAAAGATCTTGACTCGGGAACATGGGGTCATACAGTCGGTCACCTGTTTGTTGACTACAATTTCTACAGTTTTGCGTAGATCGGTTCGGTTTTTCCCACGAGAATTTAAAAATTTAGAAACTGGTATAAACAATATCACCAAGTAATTGGAATGGTCAAAAGATGGGTGTCCCACGATTATGAGACCGTCCGCCCTGTGATGTCACCGTTTGCATTCAAAGGGATACATAACCTCCTTTTCGTTAGGGAATTCCACATAATCGCTAATTATGCACTCGGGACACATCAGATTTACTGAATAGCCTCTATTAGTTGGCCTTTCGGCTGGTAAGTTGAATTGTCGCGAAATGCACGCACGGATGATAGTCCTCCTGGATGCCCAATGGGTTATGATCAGCGCCTAGAGGTGGTCAGGCCGGTATAACCTTTTGGTTGCTTCCTAGAGGTCATATGTATGTTGCAGCTGCCTCTGTTGAAGTATTCGCCTACAAACGACAACACTTGGGCAGGAAGCGTCTGAATAAATGACTGTATAGTCAGCCCTTTCTGTAAAAACGCCAACCATAACTTTATGTGCCAAACAAAATCCTCCGGTTCATCGCACTTCCACCTCTAACCGACCGTCTAGTCCAGCTGTCAGACTCCTTTCGCAGGACATACCGGTGCTGTTTCCAACCATCCGTCCAAATTAAACTCCTTTTCGTCGGAGAAGACTACACTGTGTCACTGATTTGTCCAGATGACCTACTCTCGGCTGAATGCATTTGTTGTTTCTAGCGGTATTTTATCAGCAGCGGCATTCTACGAAGCTTCTGATAAGCTACTATCGGTGAACTCCTTAGGATATTGTAAATTGTACTCCGTGAAAATTCCAAACACCAAATCTCGTTTGCTGGTACGTGAGCCACTACCTCCCACAGACAAAGCATATAATATTGTTATTTTCTTCGGAAGTGTGCAACCTCCCTTGCTGGTTTGCCCCTTACAGTAATTTTCACAAACTACTATGTAGTTATCCATTACGATTTCAAACCTCTTTAGGCGTCATCCGATGTTTCTGCACTTAAGACGCATTTCACGCGAGGCTGAAATGTGGGTTCGCAAAAACTCCGTCAGCTAAACTCCTCTGGCCACTTGTAAAAAGCTACAGATGGCTGAATTTCGTTGGTTTTGGGAACCAATCGATTTGTGGATACTGCTCATCGGACCGTCTTAAGTCTATTGACCGATAACGGCGTCTCCAGCCTAAACACAACGTTACATTTACGCTGCATCACGTTCCCATTCCAGATGCGAAGGAATGCTGGCACAATTGACGGCATTCTTGCTATATAGCCATTTTCTCACTTTTTTTCATCCTAAACCATCTTCTGACGCGGTCTTGTTCACTCTATCCATTGCCATTCCTTCTCATGCAAAACTGGACCGATCTGCGCAAATCTTGGAAATTTCAGTCAAAACCGAGTGGGTCATAATTATGGGGCAGATTGCATGACTGCTGTGGTGTGGGGCATCGTCAATTCGTTGCTTATTTGCGCACTTTTTGTCCGATAAAACACACTAGTTTTTAGGCAGAATGGCATTACCGACAAAGACAAGGGAGACTGGAATGACCATTTCTGGCTTATTAGCCGTCGTCAGCCAGCCATACCCAAGCCCGAAGTGTGGAACACCCGAGCCTCGAACTCGCCACCTGTTGGTTTAGAAGTCAACGCCTCTACTCACCGGGCCACGAGCCATTCTGCCTATGTATCATGCGCCGCTGTGCGGCTGCTGGTTGGGCTCGAGAGAGAGTCCATAAGGCACAACGGAACGAGTGAGTTCCGTATGAACGATCGGTGAGCGCCCCCTAACACACTAGTTTTTTTTGCTGTTTAGGTATTTGCAGTTGTTAGAAGTGCCTGCTGCCTATTTCTCTGGCCCAAAATCGCGGATCCCTCTGCCCGTGTTATTTTTCTGGGTCGTGCCGTCGTCTCTAGCTTTCAATTGGTCGGCCAACGTCACTTCGCCCACATGGCTGACACTGAGGCCGTGAATGATGCCGGCGATAAAGCCAACGGACTTCCGCCTGCGCTCGATCTCCAACTGGACAAAAACAAGTTCACGAGGTCATCCATTTTCTTCACCGTGGGGCTCCCCATTGGCCGCGAATACAAATCCTGCCTTGAAAAATTGCGGTCGTATATGACGGGTTATCTGAACCTGCCCAAATTCAAGAGTACCTAGTAAGGCGTTTTCTTTTTTTTCGATATTTGTCACGAGAATATTAATGTGCTACTGTGTATTATCAAGTAAGCAATGCCTTTACCTTTTTGTTAAAGTACTGACAAGTGCGGCCTTCAGCGAAAGCTAATATTCATTCGGCAAGTGCCAACCCAACGTAACCAGAACGAAATCCCGGGCGCTAAAGAGAAGGGGCAGGAGGACTGCGTACAGAATGGGCCTTCATGGAAGGAACTGCAGGAATTGGGAGTTGATATTCCCGCCTCACCTGAGGAGGAGTTACAGGAACTGATCGCCCACCCAGAGGCTACAGTGCCGCCAAGCCTTGGGGACTGTATACAACCGGATGGCCTACCCTCACTACCCTGCGCTTTCAGAATGACACTCACCTACGATAATCTGACGCTTGAGAAGGTTCTCAAGGAGCTACTCCCAAAGGATATGGATGCAGTCACGGGTTTTTCGGTAATTGGGCATATCGCCCACTTCAACCTAAAACCCGAGGCCCTGCCATACAGGAAGTTAATAGGTGAGATCAGTGGTTATTTTGCTTCGGAGTTATTTGCAAATTTAAAGTCTTTATTCCTCCTTCTAATCGATTAAACCACAATAAAGTAGATGCACCGTTTAAGGCCATTAAGATGTCTGAACGCAAACCAGCCTTTCCAGCCGAATAGCTCGTCTCCTAGCTCGTTCCTCGAACTCCAGTACAACAACAATACGACTGGCTTACTTTATGCATACCCTTGTAACTGTTGTTTTCGTCCGTTTTTTTTTCTGAAATTTTCTCGCCTCAGTCGACCGTTCCTCGACACGCAAAGCGTCAACATCGACGTATACTTAATCGCATTCGCAGGAAGTAATTGGATAGGTCAGTTTATATGCGAACTGCCCTTGACCTGTTGAGCACTGAGAGTATTCGTTAATGACTGCGTTGCGACGCAGTCCACACCGTTAGGTTATTTCATGAAAGTAAATCAGACGGCACTGAATAGTGACTCAAGCGACACGCTTAAACCAGCTTTTTCTTCTACTGGTGTTCGAATCCTATCTCGATTTCGTCAAAATACTCATACGCTCCAAATAGTATCTAATACAACTGTTGTACTAACTCCATGGTAGTAGGCTTCAATACGTCATTTTTTGTGTGCTGCCGAAGAACTATACACATCTATTAATTTAAAATTCCGTTTCCTTAAACAATAACTTCTAATCTTTAATGAAGTTTACACTTTAAGTGCACTTAATCATCTCGACTTAAAATGTGGATCTACTTAAATGCCTATTTTATAAGAAGAGGCTAGTGAACTCTTGATTCGTCGACTCAGCATACTTACACAAGTGGTCGACGTATGTGGGTGCAAATTTACGGCCGCTGAAAGGGCTGGTGGGATTAAGGGTCCTCAAAGAGTCCCTTCGTCTCAACACCGTGTTCCTACAAGGAAGCGCCTTGTTAAAGCTAGTGTTCCATTTTGAAGACCGGTGGGAATATTCTTTGCGATACTGGAAGGTTCTTGATAGAAACCAGACAACAATCGCGGCTGGAACTTTGCAGAATTATCCGCAAATTGAAGTAAATATAGGGGGTATCATTGAGGAGCTCTAGCAACATATTTGCTACAGTCTTGCATTGCCCGACCAATCTTATTGATAGGTGGAAGATCAGTGAAAAGAAAAAAAGGGAGACTAGTGGACAATCCATGCCAATCCGGAGGACATCTAGAGGCATCTTCGCCAATCATGCTGGTTGGTACGTATGCTGCCGCCCAAACCTGCTTACTGCCTGCATGCCCATGTGGCCGTTATTTTGGGCTGTCTTATTTCTATGATTCTGTCTCAGTCGCAGGGTGCATGGTACACAAAGCCTTAGCATCGGCGTAACTCATACGCCGTTCTTTCGGTGGGCGATATTGATTCCAGGTTGCTCTTTCCGATAGGTGTCCGTCAATATGCCGAGGAACATGAGGTTAAAGAGGGCAGGAGCCGGTACGTAACCTGGCCTTACTTCATTTGTCACTGCGAATGCTTCGGATACCGTTCCATTTTCCGTGAAGCGCGCCATCAGCCTGCCTTACCGCTTGCATGAACCGCTCCGATCTTCAGACTTCAGCATCTTTCTCCAGAGTTCATCGCAATTCGTTGTGTCAGAGGTCTCCATCAAATTCACAAAAATGGTGTAATGGTCGGTCGGCATTTCACCGCATCTTTCTTGTAGCTTGCGGGCTGCGAAGGTCATGTCCGCGGTTCCACTGTAGGTATGGTATTCACCTTGTGTTTCTGGAAGGAGTCCTAGCCCCAGGTGGTTGTTCAACCAATTGATTAAGACTCGGGCGAAGACTTTTCTGGCGATGTTGAAAAGTAAAATGCCTTTGTAGCTGTCACAAAGTTCCAAATTTCACGTGTTTCTGCATATATGCACGTTCGAGACATCCTTGAAGGCTCAGGAGATTACCATTGTCGTCACATGTTTCGGAACGGTGAAGTAAACTTGTCCATTAATTGAGGGTCGTCGAATTTGTAAATTTCTGTCGCGATGGCATCCGCGTCCGATGCCTTTCCACTGGACGACCGTTGCAGTGCTCTGGTTATGTACTGCAGGAAGGGCAGACGATCGAGGTTGTCCAATTATGGTTTCTTCCCAAGTTATGGACGGGTGATTGATTGACGCACAACGATCTGTGATTTCTCCGTCAGGGGGGAGTCGCTCCATACTGACCCAGCAGTGACACAATCCCCTTGGCCTGTGGAGCGTAGACTGCTTTGATGACCGCGAAGAAGTCCGTCATCTCACCGCCGTCAACATACCCTTGGATTTCCTAAACTTTATGAGCCAATCAGCCTTTGCTGCAACAGGTTTCGGCATGGGACATATACTGACGTGTTGTTACCGGTTCTGTTGTTGATGTAGGTCATGTGTAACCAACTTTGCCCCTAAAGCGGACCACGCAGTTGATGTGCTGGACCAACGGAGGAGACAGATCGAAGTCTGGAAGGCGTTATCGGGAATGCACACTCATAACAGATGCCAACATTGGGGTGTGGTGGCAGGTCCCCAGTTGCCGGCTCCCTCAGCGCCAGTTGACGTAAAATCCTGATCGGTGTCCGTAGTGGACCTGGGGGTGTGGTTGTACGTTTATGTGCGGGTTTTCGCCCTGCCAGCAATCTGCCTCCTCTCCCACTGCCGGTCTTCTTGACTATGTCTCGACAACGGGCCCAGGTGGGGGAGGAGAGAGTGGTGAATGTTGCACAAGTCTACTATTACAACAGATTAATTCACGTGCAAGTCACCGTCCCTGCTCTCATCCTATTGTGGAGCACACGGTGGACATCGTCGATCACGACAGTCGAATTGTCGTAACCAATTCTTCTTGACGAGCAGAGTACGGATTTCTTCATCAGTGTCACCAAGACGGTCCTGGTGTTGATGATGTGTGCGCTATGGGCTTCCATAGCGGTGACCTGGATGACATTCTGCAGCTCCCCTGTTTGGCTTTTGAGAGTGCCATTCGCCTCGAAAACGTGCATTTGACTCGGGCTTACGCTCCCATAGCCACGAAAATCCAGTCAGCGTTTAGTCGAACAAGAAGATACAGTATTTGCTTTGTCTGTTTTTAGCTTACCTTGCGGCCGCCTGAAGCCTCATCTTGCAGATGGCAAGCCCGAAGTCTGTCCAACAGTCGGCATTATGTACCATTCTGGTCATTAAAACAGCACTCTGGTCACGCCTGCGGACGAGGACATCGTCCAGCAGACGCCAAGGGCGCGATCGAGGGTGTATCCACGATGTGACGCACGATCTCTGGGACAAGAGTTTTGTTCGCCTGACCTTTCGGATTCCTGATCGAACCCATCATCAGAGACAAAAGCAGATACGGGTGGTTCATGCACAAGAGGCTGCAGTATTTATAGGATGCAGTCGCCATGCCACTGCATACCTATGAATATTCACGCCCCCCACCCTTCATCGGGGATCGTGGCACTTGGTGCAATGACTGTTTGATGGCCGACATTCGCGTCTTAATTTCTGCATTTTCATCACGTGTGTTGGATTTTGGTGCGATGATTGCTCGACCATCTGACCCACCGATCCTGGCGTTGGGAGCGGTGTTCACCTGTACGCTCCTCGCGTGGCTAATTACTCCGCTTAGGCGAAGTCTCAGCATCGAGTGTGGAAGGCGAAGGTTGTTGCATTTGTTAATGGATTGGGGGCCAGTGAACCATGACTGAAGCAGCTGGTGGCTTACGCCGTTGTCGCCTCTTGCGAGAATTTCGGCCTAGTCAAACGTGAAGGCTTGGCTGCGTCCCGTCATATAAGCCGCAACCCGGGGACCAGCGGCATTTCTCCGCACCGCTGCAGCGTGTTCGGCCATTCGCGTTCGGAGCTGTCTTCCAGTTTTTCCAACGTAGTTGATTTGCCCGCAACTGTACTAGAGGAAGATATTGTTTAGAAGACTGCCCCCTGCAGGCCTGCGGGGGGGGGGGAAATGGCCATTGCTATTGCAGCTGTGGCGGCCAAGCGCCCTCCCTCCCAGGCAGCGTGGTCTGTACCGTCGCGGGCATGGAAGTCACCTAGGATAACCAGTTTGTCCGTCTCCAATACGGTCGCGTGTATGATGTTCATGTCTTCGTAGAACTTGTTCTTCACATCATCGGGTTAATTGGCGCGTGTTGGCGCATTCGTTGTCGCGCCTTGGCAGCCTCGTGGTCACGAGACAGTCGTTTGATACGACCCCTTCAAACAAGACAGCTATGGGCCGACGTTTTTAGCGGTGGTTAAGGCGACTGCGACATCTTGTCGCTATGTTTTTCGGCGTCCGCTCCAGAAGAAAGTACATGCCGCATCAACCTCCTGCAATTATCCTTCTTCGGAGAATCGAGTCTTACCGAGAGCCGCAATATCTGCGCTGCAATGGGCCCGTTCCCGGACGACCAGAGTTGTCCTCCTTTCTGGACGGTTTGCCATTGCTTTCGGGCTAGGCTTTCTGAGTGACACAGTTGAACAAAAGGACTGACAGGGTTGCTCACGCCCAACAGTGAGGCTACGCTCCACGGTAGAATTTTGATTCTACTGCACACAGGCGGTTTCTCGCATAGGCTTCCATAAACACTTCAGGATTTGTCCGCAGAATCGTTGAATATTTTTTTTGAGCAACTAACTCCTAAAGTAAACCAGCTATGCACGAGGGCTTTACAAAATCGAACGTGTTTATACCCTTGTCTGGCCATACACTTCACGTGCTGCTTTGATCCTTACTAAGTTGAATAACCCCTAAATCGCAGTTATGCTGGAGGTTTTCGCCTTTGCCATTAAGCCACCCAACAATATACGATGCCTTACAAGGAGGCCCTAACTGGAGTGGTACATCGGTGGCCCAGACAACAGTAGAACCCTATTGGAAATCAGAATCGTGTGTTAGGGGCAGTTGTGAGTAATGACAGGGCGGTTTTGCCCTGTGTATGAACTATAAGCAGGGGAAATTATACAAATAACGAGAAACTGGGAGTATTTACGAAGCTTGTGGATAGTGAGATGCCATTTGCTTTCATTTGGAAGTGTCAGACTAGTGCGTAGTAAGGGAGCACGCCAGGCTTTGTGACCCAATACTCCCACCAAAGAAATGAATAAAAGGTCTGCCTCTATAAGGGTTACACATACCCAGATGGTCGCATGAAGCTGATAAGACCTGCTAGACATCAGCTTCCACTCGTATCAGCATATGTATAAAGCACATGAGTAATTTATTTAGTGATCGCTTCGAGAATTTACGCGGTGCGTGGTCGTGGGCATTCGGAGATGGTGTTAGGGATGGGGAAGCTCTGAGAAAAATGTAAATTTATTTTTTCCAATTTTCAAGAAGTTTAGAACTGCAAATAGGCAAACAAAATTACTGAAAGACTTGTTCGCGCACCGCAAAGTGAACGGCTAGGAGGATAGCATAAATGCATATGCTTTGATTCTACTGTCTATATATGGTTTCCTCAATAGTCCTGCATGGACGCTCGCATTTTACTAGTTGAGCACTAAGCTCCTAAGGTGCACTTGCAATGCACGGATTCTTTACAAAATCCAGCGAACTTATACAGTCTTGTCTGGCCATTTTCTCCAAAATGGTTTTTTAATCCTCAAGCATCTGGGTAACTTCTAAACCGCAGTTAAAACGCATAATTTGAAAGATGTTGAATTTTCAGTTAGGTCAAGACGACAGTCATGCACGAATTGTGCACTTTGTTTACACATTAAGCATTCCACGAACTTTAAGAAAGCAGGTTTTAATAAGATATTATTTATCACATTTTGCATAACGGTGCATTTATGCTTATCAAGGAAGACAAATCTTATTACCAAAAACACCCGACGGACTTCAAAGCTCCAACTGTCTAGTCTTATTGAGCAGGAAAACGACAAAGGCACATTGGTGTGTGTATGTGTGTGTGCGGGGGAAGGGGGATAGCAGATCGGGCAGGGCCGGTTGAAGACGACCAAAACAAAATCAACTTAAATGCACCGCGGCGGAATTAGATTTGACAGAAGACCGTAGGGAACGTACTTTGTGATTTGCATCGCTGAAAAAGTGGCCGCACTCTGTTTTCATCGGAATAGAAAAACTGTTCAAGTTTTCCATTATTATTATTGCCGTCATATAAACAGAGGAGCGGCTAAAAGCGGACAGTACATTTCAGTCTCGACAATAGGGCAAGAGAATACAAAAACATGTGCAGATAAATAAAACCCTGATCCCTCGGGGTTCGACACACCGACATGGAATTTCAGGGTTGGAGTATAATCCTAAGACACGCCAGGGTGTTAGTTTCTGAGTGGGCAAAATCATACTCGCTGAAATTACTGCCCGATTACTACGTGTCGTCGCTATGAATTTTTGATTCCTGTGGAGATTCAGTGATATTGTACTGAAGAGGTGTGCAGAAAATGCATTCCTTGTACTCAATGTGCAGGGCATTATATTTCTGGCTTAGAGAAGGAGTGTATTTTAAGTCAGGCACGCTCCCCTTCCCCCCTTGGACCTTTAAACGCAGCCTGCTGTGACGCTTACGCCGAGGATTTCCAGAATACATGCATTTTACTTTCCATAAAGCGAAGTCACCAAATCTCCGTGTCATTATGAAAATAGCTCCTCATAGTCTTCGAATTCAGCAATTGATGCAGACTGTCACATGTACTCTGACAGCGGTGTAGACGAACGTGTAGGTACCTTGCTGCCCGATAAGGCTTTTCAACGTCCCAAAGGGGTTCACATTTAAAGACTTCTAAAACTCACATACATCCTCACCTGAAGTTCAAGACTTGGCAAGCTGCAAGTTCCCACAAAATGATTACGAAAAGCAATTTTCTCTGTGCCCTCTTAACAAGATCTGATCGTCATTATACGCCTAATCAGACTCGTTTGAACAGTACATTACCGAAAATATGTTAAACTGGAACCCAGTATGTGATTCTACATAAAATACTTTGCAACAACGTTGCATGCTTGTCACTATTACAAAGGCGCTTAGGTAAGCCTCTCTATTCAAAGTCGTATTTTTGAGTCACAGACAAGGTTATTTAGCTTCCTCCAACGGACTGTTATCAAAAAATGGTCTTGCGATTTGCTTTTTGTGAATTGCCCCTTTCTCCGACAATCTTAAAACGAAAAATAGTTGACTTAAGTGAAACAGCCTTTAAAAGAGGTTTTTGGTAAATTTTCATAGTTCCTCTGACCCATTTGGGGAATAATCAGTGGCCTCGGTGGGGTTTGAACCCACATTGGCCAATGCTGGGCTTATGCACGACCACCTCTATAACCACCTGATCTACGAGGCTCTGACGGAGAACCGAGAGTTATACAGCGTTTACTCTGTTTTTAGCTGCCTCTATGTGCTCATAAATACAGTAGGTGAGCTAACTCATGAAATGTCAGCCGAAATTCCGAAATGCGTTTTCGATTCGAAAAGATTAATTAAGTAGATGTGTAAAACTAATCGTCGTGCAGCATAATTATATAGTGCATCAGTTACCGTAGGATTCCCGCTTTCGAACAAACTTCTGTCCGGTTGCATGCAGTTTTTTCGTTTATTTTCGATACCTTTGGAAATTCAATCATATTTAACGGAAAACATGCATACGAATATTCAATCTTCTGCCCTCTCAGTAGAAACTTACGTCTTCTTCCAAGTTTATACTCGAAGGAAGGGTATAATTCGCTTTTCAAAAACTTTTCCAATTCCCGAATAATTTTGAACCCGACCTGCCGTTACCCTTGCATCCAGGGTTTGCGAACCACAAACCGTATGTTTTCCGCGTACTGAAAGCCATACATCTCTCTACGGTATTAAGAGGGGACCGTATGGGGTTCATAAGCTTTGGCAGTGGATTTGAGCCATCAGAGGCATGACGTTTTATGAACGGCCATTTCATAGTATTAAAAATCTCACAATTAGAAACTTTTAAAAACCGAATTATACCCTTCCTTCGAGTATAAAATTGGAAAAAGACGTAATTTTCTGCTGAAGGAGCAGAATGTTGAATATTATATGCATTTTTTCCGCAAAATATAATTAAATTTCTAAAGGCATCGACAATAAATGGAGAAACTGCATGCCACTTAAGTAACCATTTTTTACAGGGTAAAGTTTTTGCATGCAACCAAAAAGAAATTCATTTGAAAGCCGGCATCTTAAAGTGACTGAATTATTATAGAATTATGCTGTCCGATTATTAGTTTTACAACCCTACTTAATTAATCTTTTCGAAACGAAAACGCATTTCGGAATTTCGGTTGACATTTCATGAGTCAGCCTACCTACTTTAAGCTGTCATAACTCCATACCTGTGTTTTTTGCGTGAAATTAGCCTGAACGTTGGGAATGTTTTACTCATGGAGGCATGTTATGTACGCATTTTTTAAAGCACGATTAGTACATTCCACGCCTTCATTGTAGGGTCACAGGTAAGTTCACAAAATGCTGGAATACATCTGCAACTGCCGACATATTTCATAAACAAAATAAAGAAATCCACGTACACCCAAATATGCGTATATTCGCCTAAATATCTTAAGCAGCCCCCAGAGTCTGTACAGTATTTCATGCCCCCTGCTTTTTAAATTATGCATAACTTCCACGAGTGCGTTCTATAGGAGAGCGTTTTATTATTTCCCTCAGGCAAAGTGATTTGCATTTCACGATTGCCGAAACCAATTAAAAAAGCCCCACTGTTTAGGCTGCGTATGATTAACCTTGAGGGTCTATGGCTGCTGGGGCGACGTATTCCCCAAAATATCGGTCGACTTGGCACTATACTCAGTGCTTTTCAATACAAAATGCCGATTTGTAACAGATCAGATGCTTCAATTGATGTAATGTCAATGGCGGCGTACGTGTATATTCTGATTTTTAGTCTATGCAGTCTAAACGGTCTGGTTTTGAACCTCTCATCCTCTTTGCCATTCGTCGTCAGCCACAGAGGAATTCCGTCAATTCTCAAACCGTGCGGGGTTTGCTCAGAAATGCCAGCTTTTCTATGCATGACGAGTTGCCATGCTTCAACTTGTTTACCGACGTCGACGGTGTGGGAGGATTTCTTTTTTTCGACTTTACTGCAGTTTTCTCCTCTGGAACGCTTTCTTGCCCACACAAAAAGAGTTCTACATAGTCTCCATTCCCTCAAATCCGGTCTTTTCTTTTTTTCGCAATCTCACCTAATCAAAAAACGAAAATGAACAAATTGCACCGAAAGGCGAGGTTGTCCTGGATAAGCTGCCTCAAGTACGCACTGTGCTTCACAAGGCTTCGAAAATCGACACTGACTTTCGTACCTTCAGCGTGGACCTTATGGCTGGAGAACCGGTCTACCTGACCACTGTCAAGGAAAACAACGTCTCTTTCAAACTGGATTTTTCCAAAGTCTACTGGAACTCACGTCTAGGTAGGAGTTAATAGTTTCCTCCTCCTTCCCCTTCTCCCCGCTCCCTCTTTTTTTTCTCCTTTTTTATCATCATTTGCGCTACTACTACTACTACTACTACTACTACTACTACTACTACTACTACTACTACTACTACTACTACTATTACTACTACTACTACTACTACTACTACTACTACTACTACTACTACTACTACTACTACTACTACTGCTGCTGCTACTACTACTACTACTACTACTATTACTACTGGCAGGATGCTGCCTTTCCCTTCTTTTTAGCCAGGGACCCTTGGTCGTTATCTCCTGGACTTTGGCAGCTGTCTTATTTCGGAAGAGCCCAGTATACTGTTGAGAAGTTGTTCACTGGGGACGATGCGAACCAATACTGTTCGGGGAGATTTCGTAGTTCAGGTGCAGCATTGATTCCACTTATCGCCCTTCGGACGTAGGATGAGGGCAAAATTGACGGAGATGAGCATGGGTGTAGAAACTGCTCCGGAAGTTTCCCCGGTGTGCGGGTATTAGCTTGTCAGTTCACTCTAGACGGCCGCGACCCATTGGCACCTCACATTGCCGAGCCGCCATTGTTAGCTGGCTACCAAACCTGAAGGCCGACTCATCCGGTTAGTCTGGGATCTCCCAATACGCGACAACTCGGCCGTCGTTACTGACGATGTCCACCGTCTGCTCTGCAGTAGGGTGAGAGCCGATGACTTGCACCTGAGGCAGTTTATAGTCGTAGCAGACTTGCGCTGCTTCTGCCGCACTCCTCCTCCTCCCCCACCCGGATCCGGTGTCAAGACAGAGTCAAGAAGACCGGAGGCGGGGGAGGGCGCAGGCTGCTGGCGCGGCGAAAACCCGCACCTAGGCGTACTACCACCTCCCCTGATCCACAACGTACACTGACCAGGATTTTGTACTTCAACAGAAATAGGAGAGTGGCTCTGATCCCAACTGACACGGCATGCGCCTGCAACTGGGACTACCACCATCACGCTTCCAGTGTTGGCATTTTTCATGGGTGCGCCTGCCGGACTTCGATATAGCTCCTGTCAGATTTGGGTTGACCATTAGACTGTCTCAAGCGACGACGCTCTGCGCGTGCCTAATGCATTAGATGCAACTCTGGTGACTTAAGCCGAAGCTGAGGAGACAGACTCGCGCAGCATCTACCGCGCCCACCCTTCACTTGTCATGTTCCGATGACCAAAGAAGGTTGAGATGGCCGGAACTGGGCGCGGGCGCAGTATCTGACAAAGCCCATATATGGCAATCCCACCTGGATGAAATCCGAGTCGTCCCGTTCTGTGAAGATCTGGTACATTGTGCTAGTATCAGGTCGTGCGTGGCACGTGTAGACGGACTGTTTAGCGTTGTCATCTACTGCACCTAAGTCCGCCCGCGGTCGTCCTGACTCTGTCTTACTACATAGCCTAGTTGGAGAAGTGCGTGCGGTAGATGCGGCGAAAGTCCGCCATCACTGTAAACTAGTTCATGCGTCTGCCACGTTGTGGGGCACACTGTAGACATAATCGTTCGCCACGGCCAAGCTGTAATTGCTCCCGCACGTAGGGGCCGCAACGTTTGTGCCGCTGACAGATTCTGTACGCATTGGTAACATCACATCTTGAAAATCTGTTTGATATGCCTCGGGCAGATTGGATAATTGTTTTCATTCTCGGGAACGTTATGTACGCAACTCCCAGACGGACCGCGTTTACTCTAGTTGCATATATTGGCGAAGGAGAATGATAAGCGCGGCAACGGAGGAGGGGGACAGAATAAAACAGATTTCTTCCAGGAGCAGACGTGAAAGAGGTCGGTGCGCTGTCACGACGCGGGATGAATTCGTCAAGTTTCTTCATGGGGCGATCGAATTTTTGCAAACTTCCGGTAGGCGCTATTCACTGTAATTCTGGGCCATCATCGCGCCCACCCTCGTTGACCACTGGTACTCGATTAAAAAAATCTGCTTCGTCAGCTCTAATCGCCACGTGCAGAGATACGCGCCGGACGTACTTCCGGCCGAGTCATCTCGTCTTTCGGTCAAATTCACAATCGTTCGGCGTGGAGGATGGAGTGCAAATGGGAATTTCCACAGAAATACCACTTATACGCATTTGTTTCTGCTTAGAAACACTGTAATCGCTGAAAGGCACCCCCATGCCTCCGACGCAGGAATCAACAAAGTGTCCGTAGATGCGTGCTACCACTTTTTTGCTGCTGTTACATTTCGGAAATACGAGTGTTTCACTGGGTCTCCTAGTATTTTTCAACTGGCCACTACTTTAAATTTGGTTAGCAACGATGCGTTGCCGTCTGGTATGGCGAAGTTGAGCGAAATCGGAGTAAGGTAGACAGAAGAAGAACTTGTCAGACTTACATTAACTACTCTCAACAGCATCGAGACGGCAGCCTATGGCTCCCAACTGCAAATATAACAACAGTGTACACACTTTTAACACAGAACATTGTTTCATCATGTCCCCGGAAGGATTGTTCGCCTCCTGCAAGCGACGAGGACCTCGGCCGCGCAGCGATGACTTGCACCTGAACATGATTATTATGATTCATGCGTAGATGGGACCTGAGGCACTGCCTCTTTTTGTAAAAACCTGGTGCATTGTACGAGGACTGGGTTTGGTGTGTGTGTCACGCGCAATCGGGCTTGTTAGCTACCGCGCCCTAGCCCGCCCCCAGTCGTCCTAACTCGGTCTTGCCATCAGAGCGAGGGGAGAGTGCAGCAGATGCCGGGTAAGTCTGCCCTATTATAAACTAATTCACGCGAAAGTCGTCACAGGGGGTGAGCGTTGTCGCTTGCCAGGGTCGAACTGTCAGTGAAGCAGACGTCCGGATTGCAGTTTGTCATTCTTCAGTGGGGAAGAGGGCCAGGTTGCCTTACCACTTGTCAAAATTCAAAGCCACGACGGCTCACTTGGCGTGAAGCTCAGAATTCCGACACTATGCCTGCAGTAAATCCGCGTAAGTTCAAATGGAGGTAGGATTGGTTACAGTGGTGTCGACTTGGCGTACAGTCAGTTCGACCGTTGCGAACGACGAGATTTACTGTGTGCCCCAGTTCCAGCAGGATGGAACTTGGGTGGGGACTTGTGTGTGATGGTAGACTTGCGCCGCATCTACTGCACCCTAACTTCTCTCTTCTATCTGATCTCAGTGCCAAAACAGTCAAGAGGACTGGAGGTGGGATCGGGCTCAGTGACCTGTCTACGCCTGCCACAAACGCCTCCTCCAGGCACGATGAACAAGGTTTTATCAGTTCAGTTCAGTTCAGTTTATTTGAGGGAAATATAGGTGTTAAACCTTTGAACTCCCTATTTGTTACAAGGAGGCCAACAATAAAAAAAATTTGAAAATGGAAACATCAAACGGTTACAGAGTTTCTTCAGATTGGCAACGTTTTGTAAGCCAGAAACAAGTTTGGGCACGGCTCGTATCCCATCTAAGTGGGAGTGCCACAGAGGTCTCCTTATAGTTTCAAGCGCGCTGATCCGGCGTAATACCTCTGTTGAGCACGTGCTACACACAGACTCATTAATTGGTCACATTGATATTTACCTGAGACTTCCCATTAGGGTCAACCTAAAAGGGAACCATTGCAGTCTGGTGATCGTTCAAAGGGAGGACAAGATTAGAACGTCGGTGGTCAACCTGTCAGGCTACTAATTTGTGCGTGTCGGGTTAGTTTCGAATGCGTTGAATTAGCCATTACTGCAAAAATTTTAGGGATTGAGTCGACATAATGAAGGATATTTTATAATCGACCTGACTCGTCTCCCTATGCACTATTAACCTCTCTGAATCTGTCTGCTGACTGAAGAAAGGGTTAAACTCAATAACCGATGTGACATAAAACCCCCGTCTACGTGTCCCCCCGATCTGTACAGCTTCAGTTGAGGACACACGCACAGATAGTGTTAACCAAAGCCCACTCGCGGTGTTTCTCTGGACCAGACAGTTGCGTTCTGACAACTCCACTCCAGGTTTGCTAAGAAATTTCTGAGAAACTTTCGAATCCCCACTTACTAACTGGGTCTTTACCCATGACAACATTTGAGGCGTCAGACGACGCACTCGGGAGCCAAACCCACTGCGCTTGCCTCATACAGCAGCAGCAGCAGCAGCAGCAGCAGCAGCAGCAGCAGCAGCAGCAGCAGCAGCAGCAGCAGCAGCAGCAGCAGCAGCAGCAGCAGCAGCAGCAGCAGCAGCAGCAGCAGCAGCAGCAGCAGCAGCAGCAGCAGCAGCAGCAGCAGCAGCAGCAGCAGTAGCGGCAGCAGCAGCAGCAGTAGCAGCAGCAGCAGCAGCCGTAATATAATTACTTCCGGTACCGAAAATGGTAATAAAACTTTTTGCGATCTTCCCCTAGTCGTGAGACGTCCAAATTTTCACTTTCACTACGAAGAGAATTCGACGAGATAATCGCCCCAATCTTTTTTGATCCCTCGAGGCGTCCACGAATGGCGATTGAAGCGAGGGCAAATCCCGCAGGATATTTGCAACCGCATTGTTGTATCAATGAAGTTTTCCCTGGGGAGTCTTTGTTGGAAAAGCAACGTTTTAACAGCGAAAAATTTATTCAACGTAAGGCGCCATGTTTTAATCATCTAAGAGCTTCTGTGTGTTCAAGCCATCGCATCACAAACACTGTCTTTAAATGACAAGCGACTTAACGTAGTGTGCTCATTCGATTTAACTTTTCAAAATATAATTCCTTTACTGGCACCCACTTTACGGAAGTTTGGTGCTCCAAAAGTACGTATTAAGTTATGGTTTTTTAATCCGAATTATTAATAGGTGTTTTGACAGTTTTTGAATAATTTTTTGACTCGGCTGTAAAAAACTCGGTCACCTTGGCGAGATTCGAACCCAGGACAGCGAGGGTAAGGCATGAGCACAACCAACGTTCAAGCCACCTGAGCTACGAAGCCTCAGAAGGAGCCGTGAGTTTAATCACCTTTGGATCAAGTAACCTGCAGAACCTACTGCAACTTATGGGATGAACCAAATTTGATTTTGTAAGCTGACTGCGCAGTCAGGATTACCGGAGTAATCAATCTAGCATCCACCAGATGACCACTAGGCTGGGTGGGTAACTTGAGCCAGCTGTGATTAAACTCACGACTTCCGGTGGAGCCTCGTAACTCAGGTTGATAGGGCGTTGGCCGTACTCAAGCCTCGTGGGTTCGCATCCCACCGAGGTCGCCGAGTTTTTCACAGTTCAGTCAACATGAATGCCGATTATGTTTGAGAATTGACCGGTAGAGTACAGACTTGAAACCCAATTTAAAACATGTCAGATTGTCCAATTCAAAATACCAGCTATTGCAAAACGGTATCACCCAGTAAAAAGGGTTAAGTTTTCTCCTCTTCTATCTATTTCTCAGGAGTATTCGGTCTTTCTTTGGACTAATGTATGTGTATATATGTGGTAGACGGGCGCTCACCGATCAGTTACGGGTTCCGCTCGTCTAGTTTCGTTTTTGCGCCTAGATCGAAGGCCTCGTAGGCAATCGCGTATCTACTTGTGAACGCTCAGCTACCATTTTTAATATTCCCAATCGAAACAGGCAGAATAATAAACCCGTTTCGTATCGGATATAGCTTTAAACTTAGGACCGACAGACTACGGATTGAAGCCTCAGGGTGTGCAGAAGCCTAACTGACTAACTGATGACAGCCAATAGGCAAGAAATGGCCATTCCAGTCTCCCTTTTGCCGGCAATCCCATTCTTTCTGTCTTCTGGTCCATGAGCGTCGACTCTCAATTCTGTGTGCGTGCCTGCCTTATTGGCCATGTCCGAGCTAATCGCAGCCTTGTGCGTACCGCCTCGTAGGCTGGTTGCAGGTCTATGACCTGGTCGATTGGGCCAGTCGGAGACCACCTTTTGGGCAGCAGTCTGGCCTTCCTCTCATTGGCTCTATCGATCGCCCTTGCTCTCTCAAAGGCGAGACCGTGCATCAACTGTTGTACGTGACGGATGATTGCAAGTTGTTGTTTTTGCAGTCTTTTGCCAAGGCGTTTGCATTACGACTTTGGCGTCGAGCGAGGCTGTAGTAGCGGACGAGCGGCGAGGCTGAATAACTCAAGATCAGCAGAAACAGCAGTCCCACGGTTTTGATGATGGAAACGAGGCAGTTTCAAAAACTCTATTACGAGTACGATTTGGTCCATGAACACTCCCTCCTTTCTTCTTCTTCTTCTTCTTCTTCTTCTTCTTCTTCATATTCTTTGGGAGATGATAACGCGACAAAATATCTTCTACTTCTCCTACTCAAATTTTCATTGAAATTTCAGGTCTGACCCTACAAAAGTCGTGTCCCGAACACTGGACTGTCTGTCCTACACTTGATATTTTCTGAAATTATTACCTTGATATATATATATATATATATATATATATGTAAAGTAGAAGTAGTAGGCATTCCGGGACGATATAATTAAAAAGAAAGAGGTTCTTCGTAAAAAATTCAGTTGTACTCGTGAATTTCCGAATATATATAATACACAGGCAGCTTGCTAAGAGTGCAACAGGCCAGACGCAGACAGCTGTTTCACGGTCGTTACCGATCATCAGTACGTGATAGGCCTTATGAAGTGACGTATATAAGCATGCCAAGTAAGCGTTTGACACTCACCGTGAGATCATAATCACAACAGTAAGGGTCAAACGCCTAATTGACATGCTTATATGCCTTGCCTCATAAGACCTATGACGTACTGCTGATCGGTGACGACCGTGAAACAGCTGTCTGCGTCTGCCCTGTTGCACTCTTAGCGAGCTGCCTATGTAGTATATTTGGTATGTGTCCTATGACACAGCGTTCGTTGTCGCCAGTAACAGGCTGGCGGGCGGACAGAATGGGATCGAGTGAGATTTCAACCACAACAGTGAGTGTCGAACGCTTACTTGACATACATATATACACACATATATCGGAGGGAAGCGATGACAGGGAGTGCGGGTATATTGATGCTCTACTGTTTCGGGCTTAATTGTCTTCATTCGGCCTCCAAGTTGGACCAGAAACACAAATATGTGCCCCTACACAGCGCAGATGGCTTACACATCCACTTTTAGTGCCGCCTGTTGGTCAACTTAAGTGACTATTGCTCTTTGGGCAACGAATATAGCCGTTTGGATGCGTAAGATAATCAAGAGTAATTCTACTGTCCACTGTATACATGCCTAAGGCAACCTTTTCATATTGTCTTCCATACCCCAGGGGCCATAGGAAAGCAATCTCAACCAACGGGGCCTAAGGGCCTGTCGCGTAAATATTAGCATAAGGACATTTAAAGGACACAGTAGCTGTGCTCGCTCATGAAATAACTAAAATTGCGAAATCTGTTTTCGATTCGAAAAGATAATTTAAGTGGGGATTGTAATATTGATGATCGTGCAGCAGAATTCCAAGATATTTCAGTCATATCAGGGTGCAGGCCTTTTACCAAGCCTCTTTCCAGCTGTCTACAAAAACTGCACTGTAAAAATCGATCACTTGAGCAGCACAATTGTTTCATTAATACCCAATGCCCTTATAAATTTAAATATATTTTATAGAAAACTTGCACGAAAATATTAACTCTCTTACTCATTCAGTAGCAAATTGCGGCATCTCTAAATTTTATACTTGATGGAGAATTATGATTCAGTGTTACAGAAATTTTTCAATTCCCGAATAATTTTGAATCCGACCTGCTGTTACACGTGCAGGAAGATGAGGGAGGAGAGGGTGTGGTAGATGTTGCGCAAGTCTACTTTTACAGCAGACTTATTCACACGTAGGTCACCCTCCCTGTGCCAGCCATGCCGGTGGGGGCACACGGTGGACATCGTCAGTAACGTTCAGTCGGGCTGTCACGTGCGTGTAACCAGCTGGCGGAAAGATCCGCCCACGTTAATTACTTCTCCCGATCGCTGACGGGACAACGGGTTCAACGGTAGCGCCAAAGGTTCGGAATTCCACTCTAGGGTCATTTAGATCTGGTTTGAGGTATGACTGGTCGAGGACTACTAATAAGTTGTAAATGAGCATTCCAGTCTTTCCTGTCTCTTTGTCAACATTCCGTCTGCAGCATCAATTATTGCCATGCGACCGATTCTGGGGCCTCACACTGAAACTCGAAGGTTGGAGACGCCTACAACATATGTACTACCTCATAAAAATGTTAACCGAAGGTCTGAAATATGTTTTCGAATCGCAAAAATCACTGAAGTGAGGCTGTAATATTACTGATCGTTCAGATTGGCGAAGTTGTGAGATCCGGGTTGATTATTTGAAGAAGAAGAAGGGCTCACCGGAACAGGTTTATTTAGATGCTGACGCTCCTAAGAGCTTGGTCGGCCCTCCATTGTCAAAGCGTAAAAAATGGAGAGCCGACCAAGCTCCGGCGGGCCCGTATTCTTCTTTTAATTACTGATCATGCAGCAGAATACCAAGGTACTTCAGTCACGACAAGGTGCCGGCGTTTGAATTATCTTCTTCACGCCCGTCTGCAAAAAGGGGCTACCTAAAAAAATATGATCTTTTCTAATTGATTTTCGACGCCTTTATAAATTCAATTATATCTTCTAAAACATGCTTAAAATTACTATTTGTTGTGCTTATTTAACAGCAAACTGCTTCCTCTCCAGATCTTCTACTTAAAGAGACAGTATCTCTCGATATTCTTAAAAGTTTCTAATTATGAGATGTTTAAGACCGTGAAATGTCTATTCATAAAGCGTCGCATCAACACGTTTATGAACTGCACGACGTGGTCACATCCATTGCAAAATTGTATGAGTCCTATATGACCTCTTCCTAACAGCGTATGGAGATTTGTGATATTCCTTTGACAGATTGCATACAGCCACTCCCCAACAACGAATAAGGGTGGGGAAGAATAAGGACGTAGAGAAAGCGCTTAGTCGAGTACTCTGGATCATCTAGCCCACCGTTCAGTCACTCCAAAACTTCCTTGTCAAGTGTGGGCCGATTAACTGGAATCGACCGCATTAACATTAGAAAAGACCTGCTGCCCTACTGAAGTACTTTTTGCAATTGACTCTTGAAAAGTAATTGAATTGGTACGTAATTCGAAACGTAGTGGAAAAGTGGAATCTCATGCGCGTTCGGGCGAATCCCTAGTTGAATCCGTCCAACCACAATCTTGGTCAGTTGTGGGACGTACGACGACAACGCAGCGACGCACAAGTGGTATGTAGTATCTATAGCATACAGTTACTATGCCACCACGTGTGTGTCCCAATTCAGCGATTCGCGT